GAGGGCGGATCTCAAACATTCCCTTGAAGTTATTCGCTCCAGCAAGCAGGTATGAATAGACGTATATAGATTTCGTGGCCTCTATCGATAGCAAATTGATTGGGGTGTTGTCAAGGCGGGAATTTAATTCGATCATAAGATTTTCAAACGATTCATGCGATGGTTCAACACTACTGCACGAAAAAACCGGAAACACAGCCAATGTTGGATCCACCGTTTCACCACTAAGGCCGTAAAGCTGGCAAACCGAGTCGAGGGTCCAATCTGAGAAAGCCTTTGAGGGAGTCTCTATGAACACGGTAAACTTGAGGTTATTCTTTGATACCAGCAATCAGAGCATTTCACGCAATGCTTGGTCGTTTCGAGGTGAGTATTTTCCGCTATCGCACATGACGTTGAACACGGCACCATCATTTTCAAGAGCCGGTCCACTTGAATCCCTTCGTTCGTTTCGGGCTTACGACAACATCGAATTCTGCAACACAACAGCTGATTAGTAAAAAATCTTTTTTCAGGATATAGTCTGATCGTTCCCTGAGGGAACGGTTTTTGCCAAGAAATTTTATATACGCACCATGGACAGACTTGTTAATCGATGCCTCCAATGACGCGATTCGGTCGAGCAATTCCTGTTCACGGTTTGAAGTGGTGGTTTGTACGGGTTGTTCGACAATGATATGGATATGTTCCTCGGCAGGTGAGACAGGAAAGTATTTCTTATTGCCAACAGCTCGTCACTATCCTGAAGTGAGAGATTCCGCAACTGATCGTCGTGATCGCCAGGGATCGTCACCTTCCATAGCTTGATGTCTTTGGCGTCAGCACCAGAGAAAGTTTGAATATTTTCCGCCTTAATAACCTTTTTGAGGTCCCCAACAAGTTGGTCCTTATCAATATGAACAGGCCTTTAACGAGGCAAAGCAAAGTGATAGACATAGCTACTTATATATTGTTTTTTGTGAAATGTTATTGGCTCGACTGTGTGTTTTATAAGAAAAATCGATTATGCATGGTAAGTTACACACGTTACACAATCAGGTTTTATTACTCGATGAATCCTAAGCGGAGTTTTAATTATAAATACGTCAGTTTACGTACTTTTCACTGAAACATTTTTTTACTTTAAACACGAACACGCTAACCATTTTTATAACATTAGCAATGTTATCCGGTACCGCAGAAATCATGGTATTAGAAATTTTGAATAATACAATTTTATAATATTTTTTTAATGAGTTTCCAGGTCTTTTGCGTCGTTTTAGGTGAAGCCATCGGGAACTCTTTCCCTGTTGATATCAGAAGTGACATGACCGTTGGGCACCTCAAAAAGTTGATCAAGGAGGAGGTGGAGTTTGACATTCCCGCAAACAAACTGAGGTTATGGAAAGTTAGTATTCCTCAAAGCAAAGAAAACCAGAAAATGAAAATACCTGTCGAAATTAACATTAAAGAAGAACTCGGAGGTGAAGAGTTGGCTTCATTCGAAATTATAAACGATCATTTTGATAAATCTAGTACTTACATCCGAGTAATTGTACAACAACCCACCACCATTGGTAAGTGTTTTACCTCTCAAACAAGGAAATTTTGCGATATTGACTAACTGCATTTTTTCATTTCTTAATCTCCTTCACACGATAATAACTCAACAGGCGCAAGGCTAGGTATAAAGCTATAATCTTTTGACTCTCGTACCAATGTGCATTTGATTCACTTTATTTTCCTATTTTGCATTTAATAGGAGGTCTTGGAGGAACAACTTATAAAGGAGAAGAACGTGGTGATGCCTACGAAGGTGTTGATCTTACTCTTGGTACCGTATGTAAGAGAGAACCAACTATCCACAGACTGCTTAAATGTCTGCTTGAGAGACGTATTATTCTAGTCCGGTCACCACCAATGGCTGGCAAAACTGCACTTGCGCAACTACTTGAGCATAGCCTGCTCCAATCAGACGAAGTAAAAAAAGGATTGAAACGTGTTTTTCGCATTTCATTGCTATGGATGGAAAGAGATGATGTATCATGGACATTTGCAGAAAGATTTAAAGAGCTTATGAATGTGACTTGGAATGAATTTATCGATAAATGTGATAAAACAACATTTCTTATTATTGATGAGGTACAAAAGATTTATAAGCCAGAGAATGAAGACGAACCTCGCCATGGTGGAAATGTATTTTGGAATTCGTTTAAACGCATACTACAATCCTCAGGTCTTCATATTGTAGCATTTGCTTCATATGGGCATTATGGTGCTTACACTGCTCGTGGAGATCATGCAATTATGGATATTTCACCATGCTCTCTTCAAAAAAGCAACACGTGGGGATTTGAAGACGTTTGTTTTACCAGAGAAGAATTTAACAGTTACTTTAATTATTTTTGTGAGAAAAATCTTCAAATGTTAAAAGAAGAAGACATTCCGCTTCTTTCTCGCTATGTGTCTGAAATAACAGCTCTCCATCCCGGTTTAGTTGCCTTTACCATGAACCAAATTCATATGAGATTCGTCAAACATACTTTTGAGCGTTTGACATTTGCAAAAGTTTTTGCTTATCTCAAATCTCGTGATTTTAATGATCATTTTAAGGTAAATATATGTTTTTGTAATAATTCTAATGACTGATATTTACTGAAAATTTTTATATGGTGTACTTTTTCTAGGATATTCGTGCAATGCCAAAAATTACTGATATGTTAGATGAAGAAAAGAGAATTGCCGATACTGTACTCTTCAAGAAAGGGGGTCTTGAAATTCTAACCAATGCAATTCCGCTTAAGAGTCGAATTATTAAGACAAATATTCTTGTTGATACTGGAATGACAAAAACAGGTTATTCAACCATTAACTTTCCAGCACCATTGCTTCGAGCAACATATCTTCAAAATCGGTTTGGTTCAGTGACGCGGTCTAAATCACCACCTAATTCATTCAAGGACTTCATCATTTCGGTGTTCGCAAAAATGAACTCTAAGGTGTTACAAAAAAGCTTGGGTGTAGGCAATGATTGTCGTCTTCTTGAACGCGTATGGCAAATGGAGTTCTACCGTGCATCAATGCAAGTTCTTCCTGTGGACATTTATGCTTCTGTAGATGTTGGAGCAGTATTCGGATCAGTGGGCTACTTAGATTTTTATATAAATGATCAGCGTAACTGGGCCATTGAACTTTTGCGGGATGGAGACAAATTGCAAGAGCATCAAAGATTTCAAAAAGATGGTCGATATGCCTCTATTCTTAAATATGCAAAGGAATGGGCAATTATTGATATTCGAAATAGTAAGAAAGAATCTCCAGAACAAAAGGGAAAAGATGTTATTTATGCACTTTGTGCTGAAGACTTTAAATCTGTTCAGTTGATATATCCTGATGGAAGTAACGATCGTGTTCAATTGCTAGGTGAAGAAGAAAATTTACTTGGGTATGATATATCGGAATTTTTAGATGATCCTACCTAGGGATCCATCTGGTTATGTCTTTATGGTTACCGGATCTTGTATTGACTAAATCAAAAGCCCGATGTGGGCGAAAATCTTTATTGTTGGTTACGATAAACTAAAAGACAAATATAATAAATGAATGGATCTCGAGCCCTAACCCATAAAATGAGAGTTCTTTTCCCTACTCCATATCATCTACCCATCTACCTATTTCATTAATTGTACTGTGCTAGCTTTACAATCGCTAAAAATTTTTAACTGTAGTTTGTCTCTTAAAGTTCACGAATGCGTATTGCTACCGAATAACACATCTCGCATATATGCTCAAAAGCCAGAAGAGTTGATATATATTTTTTAATTATATTATATTGCCTTCTAATTATCTCGTGAAATTTATGATTGAAAGAGGGCAATAGATAGTAATTTTTATGGCCCGAAGAGTTGTCCTTAAAGGCCTAAGCATATAATCGAAGCTTTACATAAAGAATTTGGAAATGTTCGAATGGTAGATGTGGAATGCGCAGAGGATGATGATGCTTCATTTCGTTGATCGGATCCTCTTTTGGTAGTTCTATTGATTGATTCGATCTCAGATGAAATTCTACCGAAACCATTATAGTATCGATCTAAGATTCACCAATCCTTGTAGTCACGTTATTGACCATTGATATGATATTTTGTGCTTCTGCGATGTAATGTGCATCATGTTTGCGATTTCCGCGGTAGATTTATCGTATCGATTCCACAGCGATAATATCATTAATTTTGAATTCACGTGCGGAGAGTTCGTTGATAACCTTTTCTCCGACATAGTACAAAAAGAAGCACATGCCGGCAATCCCATATACAGAGGAACAGTTTCGGGAAATATCGTGATTAGGAAGAAAAACAGAGATACAGATAGAACCATAAAAGGGATGTTATCTGAAACGTTGATCATAGGTATCTACAACCGGAAAAATGTTCGTTAACATATACACGAGTGTGGGGTAACCTAGCATACAAACAATGCAGTGATATATCTACCTTAATTTTCGTGAAACAGATTTAAGATAAGTCCGATGAGTTTATTTTTGTAAGACCTTTGTTAATGCCACGTTAGCTTTGCAGAAGGGAAGACAGCATCTTTTTATAGGGTTATGTTTCGATCATCATTTTTTTTCACGTAAAGTGGAGAAGATGCGAGACCGATTTTTTAACTTAACAGTAAACGTAATCAGGTATTTCTTTATTACCAATAGCATATATACTTGCGTAATCGAAGATAATCATGTAAATCATCCCACAGACTAAGAATGGATGTTAATTCAGTTTAATTAGCGAGAGATTATGTAATGCTGATAAATCGTGGATCGCTTAGCTGGTCATCACATTGACCCCCGAATGATTATGAAGTTTAGCGGAGCTAGTACAAGGTGCTAAAAATAAGGTTGATATTTTTATACATCGGAGTCACATAGTAGCTAATTATCGGAAAAAATATTTAATATAAATAAATTAGGTCACACGAGCAGGTCCTTTAAGGACGAATATATGATTCACATGCGCTGAAAATCGTTAATATGCGCAGATTGAACGTTCCGATTTTGTATAAGTTTCACCGGTATTTAAATCATAATAATAACCTTCATAATCATCGTCAGAAAATCCACAGAATCCATCATCATCTTCCTCTTCGTTGTTATCGTAGGGATCTTCAAAATCGTATTCATAGTTGGAATCTTCAGATGCGATAGCATCCCCACTTCGCGAGTTATCGGGCGCACTTACCTGTATCTTGACTTCTGATGGATCAGAATATCGATCAATCTCTTCACATATATCAACCTCCGGTAAAGATTTAACTTCACTTATCGAATTAGAGGGCGTGGTTGTAATACTTACCTTGGTTTCTGGTAAAACTTGATCGTTCCCCGGGGGAACGGTTTTTGATTTCACTTGATCTATAATATTCTGAATTTGTACATTAGTCAATTTTGAAATCTCATTCGCACTATATGTAATTAACTTAATTTTATCTATTCCGACTCCATTTTCTCCGAATAGCATAAGAAGTTTTCTAGCTCTAAGAGTTTTTTTACGCAAGTTATCTTGAGTGATATTAGGAAGAAACGGTTTCATTTCTTTATAAATCATTGTTCTTGCTGTTTTGTCTTTGATCTTACCATCAGTTGTAATAACATGAACCCTGTTTTCGAATTCAAGGGAATAATAATACCAGTTTAAAATTTCCTGTTGTCGAGATTTGATCGCCGTTTTAAATAAATAAGATAGATGTTGAGCTGGACCTTTATTTTCTGTAGAGTTGGTATGATCTATAGCAGAATCAATGAGGCATTGCTTATCAGTAGATAAATGCAATTCTTCTATTAAACCCTGCTCTACGATTTCATTTTTATCACACTCGACATCTTGCTCTAATTCAGATATTTCAATTTGATCGTTTTCCGAACGAATAGTCTTTGTACCACATGATAAATTTACATCTCGATCGTTCCCCGAGGGAACGGTTTTCATATCACATAAATTTCCATCTTGATCGTTTTTTGAGAGAATGGTTTCTGTACTATCGTATGATAGGTCTTGAATAGCTGTGGATGTTTTGCAACGAGTCTTTGACTTTTCTTGAAGCTTTTTTTCTCGATTTCTTTCTCTTATTTCATTACTTACCTTTTCATCGATCACTTTATCTTCCAATGATTTACGAGCCTTCGACTTCTGACATACGCCGGAATTTGAAGCGATATCAGATATATCAGATGCGTCTTCTGACATTTGTTTAGATGTATCATCTTGCGGTAAAGAGGTTGCAGAGGGTGATGCAGAGCATCGAATCTCCAATTCTTCAGATTTTGTCGGGCTATGTTCTATATCAGGTGAGGGATCAGGAATATCTTTTGTAGAAGATGCTTTCGGTACATTAGTAATGACCTGAGTCTGCTTCTGTTCCAATTTTGTGACTCTATCTTTAAGCTCAGTATTCTCGGCAGTGAGCTTGGCAGTATCCGTTTTATTTTTTTTTTCCAATTCTTCAAACCTGGTTTTAAGCTCAATGCTCTCTTCTATGACCTGTCTTAACTTCACATTTTCAGCCTCGATCTCAGCATATTTCTTTCTAAGTTCGGGAATTTCGGCATTCTCCTTTCTAAGATTAGTAATCTCGACTAAGAGCTTCGTATTTAGTTCTTTCAAAGAATCAATCTTAGATTGTGTGTTTGTCATTTTTTAAATAAAATATAGATAAGTTCAAAAGTGAATTTAAAAAATTATCATGTAATAACACAATACAAAAATTAATTATCGGAAAAAAGAATGACCATTTAGGTTTAACTGTTTTATTGATACAGTATAAGATACATGAAGGCGGGTAAACTATCTACCAGCTATTTCTTGGTAATTTTTTCTTGCACGCGACGCTTCTTGGATTCGGGTTCATCACAAGCGGAAATCCTATCTATCAATAATCCCACAATTATACCGATTACCTGTTTTAGATCATCCCCTAAATTTTCATGATTTCCCTTAAGTAGCTTTTTCGTAAGATTTATTTGGTATTCGCTATTACTTGTACAGAAAATCCCATCAGAAGTAAACATAATGAAATGCCAATCCATGGCTGTGGAGACGATTCCATATAAATAGTCATATTCTCCACCCTTGAACGCCTCATCTGCCGTTCGCTTCTTCTTATTCATGTGGAACGAGCTTTCAAGTTGTTTGATATTCTGTAGGTATCCTATCTTGACATTTCGTGGCTTTCCCTCGGTAATACACAAAAGATCTTCCATTCCTGTTATTGCGTAATCCACTCGACCAGATGCTTCTTCACCCGAAATATCCCTCTGCAATTCTATATTGATTTCTTTATCTGTTAGTCTTCTTGTGATGCGTGTAAGATTGATGAAATAAATTCGCAACGTGTCGCCTCATTAGCCTCTATCATTGATTTTACATTCGTTAACCGCAGTATTATTTCGTTCATGCATTGTTCGAGGGCTTTGTCGTTATCATTGATTTCCTCAAAAACTATACAAGAGAAAAAAAACATTAGCATATACCTATATTCGATCACTTTACCAAGAAATTTCGACGACGGGTTTTCGCTGAAAAATGCCAAGAAAAAATAAATTAAGCATCACATACCTGGATTGAATTGTTTGATGCTTGTAATATCCTCTCCATTGACTTTATATTTACGGAGAACGTCTTTTAACTCATCCAGAGTTTTATATGAAGAAAAGCTACGTAATTTCTGACCCAAGCTTTCGATAAACTTTACAAGCCTTATCGCAGGTCCTAGTTTGAAACCACAACGTTCAAGTCTCTCTTCTGTTAATTCAAGAAAGTCGAAACCGGAAATCTCTTCTTTCCGCAAAATCTTGAAATGAGATTCCTTAAGATCTAACTCTTCCTGCCTTCGCAAATAATCGATAAGCTCTTCCGTCTTATAATTTTTAATAACATCTGCCATCGTGCGAGTTGACCTTTCTTCCGTCAAAGTAGAGGATGTAGAAACTGGCGACGAGGGTAAGGAGGACGA